CTGTCTGTTTCCTCTCCACCTATCTTCTCCTCTATCCATCTTCTATCCGCCCCCCCCTCTCTCCCTATTTATTTCAGAACCCCCTTCCCCTCCCCCACTTCTGAGGAAGGGTCTAGGCCCGAACCGTCAGCCTTCCTGCTCCTATGATGCTGCTTGGCCTGCTGTGTTCATCCAGCTCTACACCTTGTTATCTCAGATTCTCCAGCATCTGCAGTTCCTACTATCTTTGGTGGATTTGTTGATGGACTGCATTTTTTTTGAACAATACATCCTAGAATCAATCTGGGAGGAGGCTATTGTGTGTAATCGGGCAGTATTAATTAGTAAACTCATGGTAGGACGTCCTATGGAAAGTTGTGATCATACATTAGAGTTTCATATTGAACTTGAGTGTGGCATGCTTCAATACACACCTAGCGTGTTGAATGTATGAGGGACGGAATGGATTAAACTAGCTTGGGAAATGAGATTGAAAGGTATGATGGAACGTTATCATTAATAAACAGTCAAAGAAATATTTTATAATTCTCAATGGCTAAACATTGCGAGGCAAAACCTCCATGAGACAGGTTATGGGTATTATTAGATTAACACAGCTTACCTTTTTTGTACTTTGTCTGTAAAACAGCATGGTTGAAAAGCACATTATATGCATGGAGATAACAAGAACTGCAGATGCTGGAATCAGAAATAGCACAGTGTGGAGCTGGAGGAACACAGCACGGCAGGTAGCATCAGAGGATCAGGAAAGTTTACGTTTTGGGTTGGGACCAGACCCGAAACATCAACTTTCCTGCTTCTCTGCTGCTGCCTGACCTCCTGTGTTTCTCCAGGTCTACAGAATATATGCGCGTTTGTTGATAAGTGCTCTTATTTGTTACTGAATAACACTAATTTTATGTTAATGTAGAAATTCGCTTGTGTTGAGTGTATGAGATGTTTTCACAAAAGCTAATGGCTGTGCCTAAAAATGGTGACAGCATAACATTTATAGTTTATCAGCCGTTGACTAACAGGATCATAAGGCTGCTTTTCTATTAGAGGGTGATGACTGGTGGTAGCTTGACCTGAGGATTACCACACCTCAGGCAAGAGGAGAGGGTGAGAAGGCGATTACTTAATTTTAACCTGAGCAGGTATAGAAATTGAAATCCCTCTAGATTGCAAACTAGCTGTCCTGCTAACTGATCCCCTTGCTGATAGGTTTTTTTTAAATCTGAGCAGCAGAAGTTTGGACATTATATACCTTCTGTAGGTAGATAAAGTATACACCCGTGACAATTGGGAATGGTTCAAGATACCAGAGGACTAGAAGGCTATTGACACAGAATGTTTCAGTCTTGTTAAAGTGGTGGGGATAGCATTATGCTGTGCACTTGAGGTGTTAAGGATCTTATACCTCGGTCTTCCTTCTCACCTTCGAGTCTGTCTTCTATCTGCCTATTGAATGTTAACAAGTCTCTACTGACCCAGTCTGTTCTGGGTCTGGTTGGCAGTGGCAGGGGCTGTTTCAATGTGCTTCCTTTGCGGTCTCAAGGACTGCTTTGGCGGCTGCAGAGTGTGTGGCGTCCTGTAGGTACTTGGGAAATTAAGCCATGTATGGAACAAAAAATGAAATTTGTCCTAACTTAGTATGATTTATGTAATTAAAATGGCACCGCCTTATATTGACTTATACACATTCTACTGTATTTTCATAGATACATGTAACAATAAATCACACTTTAACTCCTTTCATGAACCCAGCTGTTTGTTAATCTATTTGACTTAATAGACTTTGTAATATATCTTTGGTGTTTTTTGTACATTTAAAAGTGTCATGTAACTACATGTTTCACTTCAGTACAATATACTACTTTCAAGGACTGTATTCTGCAATGGTGAGTGCACAGGGTAAGTTTCTAATAGAACATTTTAATTCTTGCAGACAGGGAAATACCTCTTATTTTAAAAAAAAATTGCCGAGGCAGAAATAATCATTTAAAATGAGGATATATCTTGTCCTTTGTTCTTTGTTCTCAGCTTCAAGTTTTGGGGTGTTTAAAGTCTGAAAGATAGTGGAATAAACAGTTTTCAATTATAACCTTAAAATAGATTCTAGAATTTAAACAATGTGCTATCTTTTTGAACATTTTAGTGACTGGATGATTTACTTTTTGTAGTTATGACAATTTTTATGCTTGGTAAATATTTGCTCCACTGGCTTATTGTGGGTAAATAAATTACTTGGCAAGGATTACAGGATTTTGTAATCTTCTGGGTATTGTGTTTTCTGTTTAGCCCTCAAAGAACAATGAGACAAATCATTTGTGAGCGTCGGGTAAGTTTTCTTTTGATATATCACTTTGAATAAAAATGGCCTTTTGAGAACTCTGATCGCTGTCAGGAGTTGTCACCATTGTGACCAGTGCCATGTGGTTAAACATGTCTATTGTTTTTAGTGTTTGTAAAATTTATTACTTTTAACTTTTACAGGTATTTTGAAATAAGGCTTGTTATTTCCTAGAACGATGTCCGAAAAGAAAGTTAATTATTCCAAACCTGATTCAGTGAAGTTTTCACAACAGAAATCAGAAAATGAGAATAAAAGAAGTGGAGCCATTAAGACTAAAGGCATCTTGGATAGTCCCTCAGTCCTTTTCAGTGAACGTTTGCACCCCAATTTTGCAATTAGTCAACCTTTGTCAGAAGATGGAATCATTAGCTTCACAAAGAAGAGAAATTTCAATTTTTGTGAGCGAGCCAAAGAATACTTTGCTGATCGTAGCCACCAGTTGAAAGTTAATAGAGCAATTGGAGGTAGCATCAATGAGAAAAATAAAATTGGATTTTTACAACAACTGAATGGAGAAATCCAACAAAGTTTTGACATTGAAGGTAATTCCCTTGTATGTTATGATTTAAAAATTTTATTTACTTCTGTTGTAATTAAAACTATTTTAATAACAGACAATTGCATACCTTCATACGATAATTTTGAAGTAAGAAATAGGAAGCAATGCAGCTGGATTGTGATAATAAGGTGTAGAGCTGGAGGAACACAGCAGGCCAGGCAGCATCAGAGGAGCAGGAAAGCTGTTGTTTCGGGTCTGGACCCTTCTTCAGATTGTGACTTAGTTGTTGCTGGCACCCTTCCATCAATGAAGAGTGATGGATACACAACAAATAATACATTCCAGATGGTGTCTTCATCTGGTGCATTGACACTTGTGGCTGGAGTGTCCAGTCTTGAGGAGTAGGTTCTGCCTCAAGTTCTATAGATGTTACAGCTAACTGTGATTGTACGTCGTTATTTTTGGCGATAGGCCTGTTGCCGAGCTGTTGTAACTGGTCATTATGGTTATGCATCAAAGCCCATAGAAGTGTTTCCATTTTCCTCTTGTACAATGTTTGATATTTTGGGTTGTCTTAAATTTTGCAAATCTCAGTGAAGCAGCACTTTGTGTTCTACCTGTTGTCTAGCTCTGGCTAGCTAGTCATATTGCAAGTCCTTGAGTTTGTAACAGTGTTCCAATCTTTCAACAGAACTGCCTCTGTTTGGTAAGTGCTAGCAAATTTGAGAGTTCTGTCTTTTGGGGCACTGCTGCATTCATAATTTTATTTGGCAGAAAATCTGAAGAATTTTACACTGGATGAACGCTGCTGCTAAGTAATAGAAGTTTGCAACAGCTGGGAAACCATTTGATCCATCAAGCAAGTTTCATTTCCTGCCCCCTCTTGATGATCTTCTGTAACTTTCTTTAAATGTTTATCCACTTATTTAATACTGTTGTGACTTCACAGCTTTCAATTGAGCATTCTCAAAAATCCTCTACATTTGGGAAAAGACTCTCTCGTGGTTACCTTAAAATAACAGTCTCTTGTAACTACCTGGAAAAATCCATTTTCACTTTTTCATAAAACTCCTTCATAAGCTGGTGCACCTCTTTCTGCACTACTGAGGAAAAACACTAATTTCCATTTAATTGTTATTTGTGGCATGCCAATGACTGTCATTTTTTCTGCACTGGTCGTTTAAAACTGGCCTCATGATCGGTTTTTAAAAGTTGTATTGTTTCTCACTGTGTTCTAAATACAGTTGTTTATAGCATGCCTTTTTTAAAAAAAAAAAGTTCAATTTTTAAACATTTGACTTTCTGACTCCTTTAATCTCCTTTATCTCTTCTAATTGTAAGTTTCTTTTCATTTAACATATATTGATGCCTTTATTCTTGCTTTCCATTACTCTGTATTTTTTCAAAGCCATTATGTAAATGTCTCCCTTTTCTTTGATTCTAGACTAGTGCCTTTGGACATATATCCTAACCTGAAAAAAATGATTTCCTGCTAGTCCCTCTTTCTGTCTATGTTGCTGCCGCATTCCTTCATTTTATCAAAAACCACCAGTACAGCACCAGATTGGCTGCTTTTGAAAAAACAACTTCTGCAATATCAAGTAAATTAGTGGCAGTGTGCAGTATTGTCTAAAAAAACTATTAATTTGTTTCAGGCAGTACCTCATTGCAAATCAATACTAGCTGTTTCTCCTTAATCTGGGTTTTTCTTGAGCACGTTGAATTTTATTGTGCATTGAATCTCTAGAAATGCCTGATTGACTCCTTTTAAATTTAATTAGTGGTGTTCCTTTTAAATTTTATTATTGCTGTTATAGACTTCCAGTACTACTATGGTTGTCAGAGGTGTTTAGAATTTTGTAACCCAATCCTGTCTGCTCTCTGACTCTTCAATATTGAGAACAAATAAAGATGATATCTTTCAAAACCTCAGGATATGCCAAAATATTCATAACCATTGAAGTACTTCACGTGTATGTTATAATAGTTTTTCCAAATATTTTTGCCCTAACGCTTGTTTTAAACATTGGGGTCATCTTTTCAGATGCATATGAGAAACTTTTGTGAGGTTTGTGCAGCTTTGGAACACTCTGCTTGTTGAGGCAGGGTTATTGAATATTTTTAAGGTAGGCACAAGGGAACCGATGATTATTGGGAGTAGATAGGAATGTGAAATTCAAAATGCTAACATCAGCCATGATCTTATTAAATAGCAAAGATGACTTGTGGGTCAAATGGCTGCCTCCTTCTAATTCGAATGTTGGTCAGTCCCCTTGGTGAAGCTTCCTTCTCAACCCCACAAATTCTGTAAAATTTCACTTTTCTTCTCTCAAAGGCCCTACTTAAGTAATGCTACCCATTGTCATATTTTTTTTTTCTCTCTCAACCTTGCTTCTGTTTGTTTTTACCTTGTATTTCTACACCCTATTTTATTTTTTGTGTTCTTTACTCTATATTAGTCATGTGCTAATGAGAGTTTCATTTGCACCCAAGTGATCGCTGAAGCCATTTAAATAAAACAAAAGAAAACCAGAAAAATAGGGGGGAAAGCCATACAAATGAAGATGTTGTACCACTCTTAAATACTTAGTAACAGCATGATTTCTTATTGAACCTGCTAGTTACAGTTCACTGGTGTTAAACTATAGTTTTGTGCTGTGCTGGTGGCATAGTAAGATAATATTTTTAAATTCACTGAACTTTTTTGATGTAGAACAAAGAATGCAGCATCGAGCAGTTGGTTCTATCTCGTCCCCGTCTGTATCAACTGAAGACGTCAATGGTGTAAGCAATTAAATTTTTTTCTGTGTAACTATTTGGATTAAATATTTTTAGAATAATTGAATTGAGTTAAAGCACGCTATTTAAAGGCAGCTAAGGCCACTTGTTTCTAAGCCACTTAAAATGTAAAGCATTCAACTTTGAAAGAATTCTTCCTATTTGTTTATAGGATGAACAAGCATCACTGTTTCAGCCAGCACTTATTGCCCATCCTGAAGTATTGTTTCTTGTGTTACATCTGTGTTGTGTTTGGGAGTCCGTTCCGTTACCAGTTTTTTGACAAAATGCTTCCTTGTCATTGTCTTGTTTGCCGTCGAGTTATACAGACGGGAACAGACCCCTCAGTCCAACCAGTCTATGCTGAATGTAATCCCAAACTAAACTAGTCCTACCAGCCTGCTCCTGGCCTATATCCCTCCAAACCTTTCCTATTCACGTACTTATCCAAATGTCTTTTAAACATTGTAATTGTACCCATATCTACCACTTCCCCAGGAAATTCATTCCACACGCGAACAACCCACTGCATAAAAAAAATTTGCCCCTCATGTCTTTCTTTTAAATATCTCTCTCCTCTCTCCTTATAAATATGCTTCCTAGACTTGAAATCTCCCAACCTATGGAAAAGACAACTATTATGAACTCTACCTAAACCCCTCATTATTTTATAAACTTCTATAAGGTCACCTCTCGGCCTCCTATGCTCCAATGTAAAAAGTCCCAGCCTATTCAGCCTTTCTTTATAACTCAAACCTCAACATGACTTCCCAACTCCTATGCTCAAAGGACTGAGCAGTGAAGGCAAGCGTGCCAAACACCTTTTTTAACCACCTTGTCCCTGTGTTCCCTGTCCTTTTGTCAGTTTAGTTTGAAACGCTTTCTGGATTTTTCTTTCCTGTACTGTTTATCATTTTGTAATTGCTCAAATAAGAATATTTTGGTTGATCCACAATTCAAGGGTAATGAGCCTAGATTTTTCTCTTAGGACTTTTTTCTCAATTTGAATTTAGGGATGAGTCTTATGCCTCCAAATTGCTTCCAGTATTTTTTGAATACTTATCCACATTGTCTTTAATTAACTGGATACACTACCGAAGGTTCCGTCTGACCACCCTATGACTTTTGAGTTTTATTTCAGTGTTTCAAGTTGTATTTGCTTTATTGCTTCATTATAGTTGGATGAATTAAATGACAATGCTATAAAAGCGTTCTTAATTTCATTATTGATGATGGAATAGATGTCATCTAATTTTCTTTCCTGTCTGTTGTGCAGCACTTCAGGCCCAAATAACTTGTTCAGTGAACCATTAATTCAAAAGATTATGATAAAATGCTGATGCATTTAGCTGCTTGTCAGGCAAACTGGGTTATACTACTGTATTGTTTGTTCTAGTATATAATGCATAATGACTCAATTTAAATATTAGAATTAAGTTTTTTGTGGAATTCGCAATGATTGAATTACTTCAATTTCTGTTCAGTTAATGATTATTTATGTAGTTTTATTATTTGCAGAAAAACTTGTCTTTTGCAGAATTTTAGTCTTGTGAAAATGTCGACCACATCTTCGTCACCGTCTCCTACCGCAACTTGCAGTTATTGCGGATTGCAAGGTGGGCATTGCTTTCTGTATTAAGTAAAATTAAAATCTTACTACATTTATTCTGTCTCCATACTTGGATGAAGAAAGTTGACATCAGCATGTAAGAGAAAATTTACAAAAGGAATATTAAGAATTTTGAATGGCTCACCAAATGTCCATCATTTGTCTCATATTTTGTGTGTTGACCCAATAGGAATTACTGGCACTCTGTTAGGGATCAGATATATGGCTAGGATTCTGTATCCTAATAGCAGTTTGGTGGCCTGTGCTTGGAATAATGTTCAGGTTTGACCCTATTGCTCAACAACCTGACACTGTTAAAATGTACAGATAAATACTTGACACTTCAGCCTGAAATATTGAACGCTGAAGAAATATTGGTGGGATGGATTTTCTTACACTTCTTGAGTTTGAGTTTATTGTTCACTACCATTCTTTGTTAATGACATAGCCTAACTTTGCTGGTCTGGTTTGTTCCTAAAGAAGGCTAAGGGGAGTTTGGCTTTTATTGCTAGAGAGTTGGAATTTAAAAATAGACCAGTCTTGTGTCAACTGTACACAGTGATGTTGAGACCACATCTGGAATACTGTGCACAGTTCTGATCCCCATATTGATGAAGGGATTTGCTGGCGTCAGAGGTACTCAAAAGAGAGTCATGAGGCTAATTCTTGAGATGGAGGGGTTGACTTATCAAGAAAGCCTAAGCAAGTTGAGTCTTTAGTCATTACAGATTAGAAAAATGAGGCATGAGCTTATTGAACCAATAAGACTTTGAGAGTATATGTTGAGAAGATGTTCCCATTACTGGGGAGTCTCTCGCTGGGGCACATGGTTACAGAATAAGGGAAGATAGTGAGATATGAGGGGATTTCTTCAGTTCTCCACCTTAGAGAGATGAGGAGGATAGATCGCTGAAAATATTTGAAGAGGAGTATGATAGATTTTTGAGCAGTTAAGGAGTTGAGACTGAGAAACAGCTGGCACGAAAGGGGAGATGAATGTGGGATGGATTAGCTATGATCTTAGAATGGCTGGGTAAGCTTGAAGGGCTGAATGGTGTACTCCAGTTGCTGGTTACATTTAAGACATTAGTTTTTATTTCATTTTTATTACCTCAATGCAAATCATGGAAAAGCATTTTTGGTAGAATGCTGTGAAAGTAACTGTAATCTGCCAAACAGTATAGCTTTTGACTGGAAATTTCTGGCTGTGGTAATGCATAAACTATCTAGATTCCATGATTCCTCTTAAATCATTAATTTAATACCTGTGCCTCTGTGTCATTAGTTATGAATTCCATGGTATCAAGGATAGGCATGTCAAGTTAAAATTCTCATTGGCTATATGGTGACTTTGTATGCATGGAAGGTTAAAAAATCAAAAATTGATGTTGGTTTGGGAAGTCTGCAAGGACCCGCATTTTTAATTTGAACACCTTGATGAGAAATCATTATGAACAGGTGTATCTGCTATTAAGAGATACTTACAACTGCGTAGAAGGAGATCTTTGCCAAGTGGGCCAGTTTGGCATGCATTATCAGTGGTGGTAAAAGTCACTACAACCTTTAATTAGTTTTTCAACGTTTTCCAGAAATCCGCTAGTGACGTCTGTGAAATATTTCAATCTGCTATGCAACAGTGCATCGCCTGGGTGATGCTCATAGTTGCAAAGGCTGCCACTTAACTCTACTTCAGTACTTATAAAGAGTCAAGGTGAGCGCACCTTGGGATGACCTGGTCTAATGGGATCCTCACTGGAATGATAGATTGCAGTTGTGGCAATCGAGGCACCCTCAAAAAACCAGATTTCATGAATTTATATGGATTCAACTTCACATTGTCCAACTGGTAGTTTTATAATTTGTGTGTGCAAAATATCCAGGAAGCAATCATGGTATCATCATTGTGCACCTTCAGTCTTTTACAGATACAGGGAGTCCTGCATTTGAATGTCATACTTACATGTGATCTCGTACAGGGGTGTAATTTTAAAGATCCAGCGTACAACTGTTTCCTTGTACTTACGAATGGCTATTTTATATTGTTCTGCATTGTGCTCCATCTTGCATACAAAGCGACTTGCAAATGGAACCCTAACAGTAGCAGCATGCAATAGAGCTGCTGATCCCACAACCGACATATTGGATCTCTTCAGTCCCACCGTATCCAGCTGTGAATTAACCAGCTTAACAGGAGGAGATGTCTCCACAAATATCTCCAGCCTTGACGATGGCGCCCAGCACATCAATGCAAAAGATAAAGTTAAACTATTTGCAACCATGGATTCACTCCACATCATATCAAGAAATGGGTAAAGACTCTGGATGCACCCAAGGCTATGACCCCTGATAATATTTCAGCAATAGCTCTGATGATCTGTTTTGCAGAACTGGCCGTACTCCTAGCCAAGCTGTTATAGTTCAGCTACAACTTGTTTGTTAGATGCCAATGTGGGAAATTTCCCAAGTAAATCTTGTCCAATAAATACAGGGCAAATTCAAAACCTCTAGGAATTTGATTTTGTTTTCTGCTCCACCTTCAGCCATCCAGATCCTAACCCTTCAGTCTCCCTGCCAATCGTTGCCCTGCACCCATGCTGTTTACCACTTTTCTCATGCGAGAGAGAGCAGGATGGTGAGCGTGAGGCAGATATAAGTCCAGAATAGGATGACCTTTAACATCAGCACTGACTTTCTGTTCTAGTGCATTGGTGGGAGATGAAGTATTGCACATCAAAGCAGTAATGTCAGTGATTTAACTCTAGAGTGAAGGGCTACTCTCTGGTTGTGAGGGGCTGTACCATTGACAGTCAGGAAAGGCACAACTAAAGCCACAAGAAGACAAGAAGTATAATTGTGAAAGTGGTTGTTTTCTGAAGATGTGATTGGGACCCAGTTAACAAAGCTGAGGCATGTCAGCTATGCTTTCAAATAGTTCTGTAACAGACCAGTCCTGGGCTTCAATTCACATTGAGCAATACCAACTGATTGAGGATATTTTAATATTGCTTTACACTTGTAAAATTTGCAACAACTGCCATGTTTGAGCAGTAAGTTTCAATTTCAAATATTTAGCCAATTTGCAAGTCTTCTGTCAGCTAACTTTGAAATCAGAACTCCTTATGAAAATGAGAGAATTGATGATTTTGGGGCTGATGTTTGATGTTCTCTGGAGTGTTGCATGAAACCAAATGATCACGCCATAACTGCCAAACCTGTGCTAATTGCCTCTGTTAGATCCACAATTTATTTCACTCGTTGTCCAGTTCGTTGGCAAATTATAGCTTCTGCAGTTTGTGTTGATTGTAGAAGTAGAAGAGCCCCAGTGATGTAACTGAATTGGATGAGCTAATAAAGCCAGCACCGAAAATAATGCGTTGAAACTGAAAAGTGCTATAGAAAAGCTTTTACTTGATTACACTGAAAGAAAGGGAGAATTTTCACTCAAATTCCTTTAGGGATTGTTGTCAAATATTGAAATGCAGTCCATTTGGTGGAAGATAAATGCATAGCATTCTCTTAGCTTGTACAGCTGGAAAAGTATTAGCTATGCAGTTCAGGATTGTCTGCCTGCATGAGTGTTTCCAACATTGATCTTGATGTTAATCATCAGCACACAAGACTGACACCAGAGCGCACAAAGGTTCATTTTTATGCTGGTTTCTGTCATTAGAATTTAAATACAACATTTATTTTACTTAATTCACAGACTTTTTAGTTACTTTTTATTTGGACCTCTCTTGAACAGTTTGTAAAAAGTTTACAAAAATGCTACAGAAAAGTGACTTTTTCGAAATGTTTGAGGGTGTTGTGTAAGATGTTGCTGCATGTTGTTCCTGTAGATTCACCCATTGCTCATTTTTATCTTTGAGTATTATTTATTATAAAAAGTGAAAAAAGTCAGTAATTTAGTTTTAGTTAACACACTTATTAATGTTTAAATAGTAAATCTATAATTTTTAGTTTAAAGGAGTACTTTTGAAGGACCTTTTGAACAATTAAAGATGTGAATTAGAATTGACAAGGTGAAAGAGTTTACATGCTTCTGAACTCAATCATCTAAAATTGTGAAAGTCATAATTTCTTGTTGACTTCGTCAGCAGGCAACATTAGTAAGTGTTATGTGCCATGTAGATATGTTGTGCCTAACTTTCTATCAAGGGAGAATTTATCTGTACTTGCTAAGAATCTGCTCATCTGCAGTGCATCACCTTCCATAGCAATAAATCTGCTTTTTGAACTTGTGGATTTCTGGTATGGTGTTGTCTCTCGCTGCAAGTGGGTCTGAACATTAAAATTCACCCCATCAAGCCTGACCAGGTGAAGGAGGACAGTAATTATTTCATTTATTTGATTAACACCTGTAGCTAGGAGCTGTTAGAATTGGTGTTAAATGTGACCAATTTCCTGGAGAACTTTATTTTATGAGGCACGGTGGCTCAGTGGTTAGCACTGCTGCCTCACAGCACCAGGAGTCTGGCTTTGATTCCACCCTCTGGCGTCTGTCTGTGTGGAGTTTGCACATTCTCCCCGTGTTTGCATGGGTTTCCTCTGGGTGGTCCGGTTTTCTCCCACAGTCCAAAGATGTGCAGGCTAGGTGGATTGGGCATGCTAAATTGCCCACAGTGCTCAGGGATGTGTAGATTAGGTGGGTTATAGGGGAATAGGTCTGGATGGTATGCTCTGAGGCTTGGTGTGGACTTGTTGGGCTGATGGGCCTGTCCCCATACTGTAGGGATTCTGTGATTCTGGGATTTGGGTATGATGCTACTTAGTGATACAAGGTAGGTAATAGTTACACGAGAAACTCTTATTGTGACCTTTGCAGTAAAATATTCAATCGCTAATCAACTAACTCATGGCAACAGAGATGTCATTAACTATAAAAGTCCTCAGCACCTGATAGAGAGCCATTGTCTGGAATGCAGCTGATGTCTCTGTCTCGTTCACAACATAACAACTAACATTTGCCCCGCCTTTTGAAGAAAGTCTTAACAAACTAAATGTGTAATTTGAAAAGCTTATTTGCATCCTCTTTTTTGTCAAAAAAAATGTCAGTGACGATAGTTTGGACAGAGCAAGTGGAGATGGATGTGTGAAGAAGAAAAAAATCCTTAATTGACATCTGATTTGAGAGAAAATAAAAGGTTGAATTTGCGTAACATTTGCCAGAGGCTCTGGAAGTACCAAAATATTTGATTAAAATAATTTTCCAAAAGTATTCACTAATAAAGGGAACTACAAATTTACAAAGTGTCAGCAGACACTGAGATTAATGATAGAACAGACTGCGCTTGGTGATTGTTGACACTTAAACATTGCCTAAGATATAGAGAGACAGGTTACACTCGCTTTATGCCTGTCTAGGAGGACTGATCGACTATTGGTTTGAAATCTTTCTGTAAGATTACAGCGCTCACATTGAACCACTTACATGACCTATTGATTTGATCAAAATGTTGCTTCTGAATGACCTCTGAAAGGAAGGTAAAGTGGTTTCCTGTAAACAGGCTGGGATATATGATCTTACGAATGCAAAACTTTATAAGTTGGTTGTGTTTTAAACTGTCTCCTTTAACATAATACAAAATGTTCTGGAATGGAAGATGGTGAAATCATGCTAAACCCTCCTTCGGGATAAGCCCATATACTTTGATTGTCATGGGAAAGCCACAATGGCTAAACCCACAGAAAATCAAGTGTCAGTTTTTGCATCTTGTCAGAAAAGAAATCCAGTTGATCTTTCTGGACAAAGATTCTCAGGTTGAAACACCTAGAAAAGAAGAGCAAATATATTTCCTTCTATTCAAAACCGAGGAAGAGCTTTTTTTTTGTCAGTCATTGAACAGTACACTAGGAAGAAGTGATCTTCTTCTGTTTTGAAGAGATGGGACTTTGAGTTATCAAATGGGCCTGGCTGCTGGAAGTCAGTTCAGGAATACTCGGACTGAGTGAAGGGAATTTCAAAGAATATTGTAAGGCTGCACCTGGTTTGGAAGGGAGAAGAGAGCCTGCTGAAAAACTGCGAACACATCTTTTCTGTAGTTTTTGTATTGATTGATGTGATTTTTAGTTCATTACAGTAAACATCTTGAAACATTAGTGTTATGCAATACTCTGTCAGTTGCTGGGAAATTCATTTCTTTTAGAAGTTAATAGTCTATACAGGGATAATAATATTGACGCAGTCAGCTGAATAAGGTTGTACCTTGCAAGTGAATACTTAGTAAGCACTTTTTATTATTCTTGATCATTAAAGATCAAGAAAAGGATTTTGGGTTTTCCTAGAATAATCATTTTCCTTTCTTTCTCTGCTAATATCCTTCTGTGGGTTGTTCAGTACTTTTTGGAAATCTTGCTTGCATTTAAAAAAAAATTAAAGAGCAATGGAAGAAATTTATAAACTGGTTCAATTATGTTCTGATCACTTAGAGATGTTTTGTGAATCTCTTCTACGGAGGGAATGGGAGGAGTTACCGTGCATGAGAACACAGGACTTGGAGGTAGAAATATGCCATTTGGCCCTAGAGACTTGCTCCTGCAGTAAGATTATGGCTGACCTCTCAGTCTCAGCTCTTTTCTTTTGTCTGCACTCCATAACACTTGACTCCCTTGTCTAACTCAATCTGCAAGAAATTTAGAAACTCAGCCTCCATTTTACTTTTATTGTATAAAATTGCTATATTCTTATGTTATTCTTAAAACGTACTTAATTTTACAGAATTTTTTACTTTGCGTTTTAGTAAAGACAGGAATTATAACTAGAATGAGACAATAAGATCTGCACTGCAAGAATATTTCTGTGACGCCAAGTGAGAGCATTGTGCAGCGTCCTCGTGGTAAGCATCAGGACCTGCAACTTCAGAATGCCCCAGGAGACAAAAACTGTCCTGTGAGCAGAGAATATACTGTCAGATTTAAAATTCAGTGATCAATCTTGACATTTTAGGAGATCCTGGATTTAATTAGGAAAGGATACCAAGGGTCCTGAATCAAAGCTGGGTAACTTGAGTTGAACTTCAGATCAATTACAATCTAATTGAAAGGCGTAGCAAACCTGAAAGCCCGTGGTGCACCCTGGGTAAGCAGTGTCAATCCAAAACTGTTCTGCATCCTTCCTGACATTTAACCTCGATGTGGTAGGCAAGGCGAAATTGTCCTCCACTTTGTGGGCAGTGTCCTGGAGGTCTTCCTGGACAATTTGGTGCAGACACGGGACTACTTCCGCAAGGCCAGCAGTGGAGACTGTGGCACCAGGGGAGTCGATGGCTTAGTAGTATTATCACCGGATTGTTAATCCAGAGACCCAGATAATGTTCTGGGGACCCATTTACCCTGCCATGGTAAATGGTGGAATTTGAATTCAATAAATATCTGGAATTAAGAGTCTAATGAAGACCGTGAAACCATTGTCGATTGTCGGAAAAACCCTGTCTGGTTCACTGATATCCTTTAGGGAAGGAAACTGCCATCCTTACCTAGTCTGGCCTAGATGTGACTCCAGCCCCACAGCAGTGTGGTTGCCTCTTAACTGCCCTCTGGGCCAATTATGGGCAATAAATGCTGCCTAGCCAGCGACGCCCCTCTTCCTGTGAGTGATCTTTTTTAAAATTCATACTGCTAGCCTGGTCTGAAGTTGCAAGTTTTAACTGTTGGAGGATTGGCCAGCATTTTAGGAAGCAGTTCAGTGTCCTTTTCCACTCTGTAAGGGTAAATTCTCTCCGATACTTTACTTTGATTCTCTCAAACTCGCCTTATGTCTGCAACTGGACCCACCTTCCACCAATGCTCGTGCTGAACCACTGTCATTAATGTGTGCAACATCTTCCCTCCCTCACTCTTCTCTACTACACTCTCCCTCTTTTCAATACACCTCTAAAAAACAACATTGACACTCCTAATCTTGCATGGCCTCTGCACTAACTCCTAACTCTACTGGACACCTCCTAACTGTATCAACAGTAATAGCTGTGCCACCCACATTCAACTCTCAATATCTGTCTCTCATTTCATGAGGAAAACAGGCCACAGTTAGGCAAAAAGAGTCAAGATGGTGTGGATGGGCTGCTGTCGGTGAGCTCTTCATCTTTTACAAGGAGAATATCCTGACTGGCCACCCTGGATTGTTGTTGGAGGCTACCCGTGACTTAATGTACAGGGGAAACTTGGCATGAAAGCTGTCCCCCTTGACTTCATTTGATGGAGGTCTGCTGACTACTGTGAAAGCTTCCTGGTTTGGTGGTCTGTGATAAACGGCAAGGCAAGGTAGCAGTAATGAGTGGCTGATATCTTTGGTGAAAGGGGAAAAGTGCAAAAAGACATGGCAATGCAAGACGCAGACACTGTGAGCAACCATGTAGGCTGAGTGAATTAGTGACATGAGAGTAAGTTAAGAGCCGGGTTTTGCAGTCTGGTCCAGTCCATGAGCTGGTTGCATATTCATGAGTGCAAAGTGTCCTTGCTGCAGTATTATAATAATAGTTACTAGTGCATAAGTGTCCTGTAAATGAATTGGAGACATTGTGAGGGTCCTTGGATTTTCACATGTCAGATGCCAATGATCAGGAATGCATGGTGTGTATGGCTGATCCTCATGGAGTGTGCCCTGAGATGTTGGTCCTCAATTTCCAACATGGATATTGTTCAGAGCAGTTGGCAAGCTGAATCCACCAGATGTTTGCTGTGATATCCTTGTTGAGCTTTTCTGATGTGAAACTTATTTGGCAAGTTTGGCAAAACAATAATGAAGCAAGTTGGGCTGTTTACAAGGCCTTTAAAAAGCAATAATTGCTGTTATTTGGCAGTTTGCCAATGCATACTGAGTATCTTGGCTCACCACTCATGAAAAATATGAGTGCGAGTTGCTCCTGTCAGAATGGATGTTGCCACACATCTTGCTGAATCCTGTGCCGCCCATACCCCTATAAGTTTCTCCCCAAAATGAGAGTAACTTAATGGCCGTGCCTCAAACAGAGTCAGAATTATCGAGAGTTTAATTAAACCATAATTATGACTGCATCGTTTTAGTATTTATTGTGGTAACACTAATGTACTTATTGTAAAACATCAATATTACCAGTATGAATTTTTAATAACCTCTTACACCTACGCTGTCCTTGGCTGAAAAAAAGTCCTCAGTCACATTTGATACGTACTTGGACAAATTGACTGCTATTATCAATTTTTAAGGATGGATAACAAAAATCTTTGAGTTATGTTTTATGGAGACCAGAAGGAGGAGCAACAATTGGAAAAGCTTGGGATTGGGAAGAATTCATCAGTGAGCCTAGGTCCTGATTAGTAGTGTGAAAAGGATAATTTAATGCAGGAGAAAGCAGAAAGGGGAGGGATCTGAGCATGAACGGATTTCAGTTTGAACATGGAGGTATTTGTTGATTAAGAGCCATCATAGGTTAGCCTGAAAAAGGATGATGGTTGAGTGGGACTTGGTGCACCATTGGATACACTTTACATATGTTTTTGTTGAGTAGAAATGGGAGGTCGGGCAGGCAGGCAGGCATTGAAGCAGATGACCATGTAGCTTTAGATGGCAGATGGGTCGACGCAGGGTGGAAGTAGATCATGCTCAAAGTGAAGGTAAGCTTTCTGAGATGGAGTGAATACAGAGTTAGATGCTCATATTTAGAACAATTTGGTTACAAAGGTTATGAACCATCTTAGAGTACATCAGGGAGTAATTTGTAAGTAATGGTGTAGTGTAATGGATAAAGTTTTTCATAGTTGATATTTCATGGCTCAATGATGGGTAACGAGCTGAGCAATACAAGGAGGGGGAGAGATGAAGAGGATTGATGAAGACTAGATGCTGAATGACATTCGCGTAAGTGTAGAACTTGGTTCCATATCTTTCATTTTATATTTAATGTGTAAAATTGGCAGTTCTTTACCGTGTTTGAATATTTTATTTTATTTTGTGTGCTCTTTCAGGATTAAATCGGTGTGCACAGTGCAAGCAGCTCTATTGTTCAGTGAAATGTCAGAAGATTGACTGGCCAGTGCACAGATCC